CTCTCACTCTCTTTCTCGCTCTTGACAATTTGTGAAAGCCACAAAATGAATGATCTAATGACGAAATCGTTCACGAGCTATGTTGATCTGAAGAAAGAAGCCATGAAAGACCTCGAAATGGCGGACATTGAAATGGGGATACAGAAGATGGACCAGAACCTCTCCGCCTTCTTAGAAGAAGCAGAGAAGGTGAAAACAGAGATGAATTCGATCCGTGAAATCCTGGTCAGGCTGCAGGAATCTAACGAAGAGATCAAAGGCCAGCACAAGCCGGAAGCTCTCAAATCGTTGCGCGACAGGATAAACGCAGACATACTGACGGTCCTGAAGAAGGCCAGGGGGATCAAAGCGGAGCTGGAGGAGATGGACCGGTCCAACGCGGTGAACAGGCGGTTGTCCGGGTGCAAGGAGGGAACTCCGGTGGACCGGACGCGGCTGGCCGTGACGAATGGGCTGAGGAAGAAGCTGAAGGAGCTGATGATGGACTTTCAGAAGCTAAGGCAGAGGACGATGAGCGAGTACAAGGAGACAGTTGAGCGGAGGTACTTCACTGTCACAGGTGAGCAACCTAATGATGAGGTGATCGAGAAGATTCTGATCTCCGGCCATGGTGGTGAAGAATTTCTCTCTCGAGCAATTCAGGTAACATATAGTAACCCTAATTCGACCTAGAGTGAATGTCACTATCTCCTAACCCTAAAATTGACTTTGAATTTGTTGAGTTAAACAATTCTGTTGTCTTAACCTGAATACCTGATAATAGGAGGAAAAGGCATTATCTTATACAAGTACATTAGATAATTTTATACCAAAAATCAGGAAAATGTAGTTACTTTTGGCATGCCTAAATCAGCCAAACAGGTATCAAACAAATACGAGTATTAAAATCATAACTAGACCTGATTTTGAGACCGTATTAGAAGCTTGAAACTTCATCTGGTTAGACGAGAAAACGAATAATCGGAATCAGGTCTTCTATGTTCAAGGGCCTTATTCACGCCAAATTTTAAAAATGTTTCCATTTATAGTGTAAAAACTTTATAAAACATACTTCGAAAAATTCAGGTTCTGGATCCTACTTCCTGTGTATATAATGTTAATTGATTGACTATATTAGGAGCACGGGAAGGGGAAGGTGTTGGAGACGGTGGTGGAGATACAGGACAGGCACGACGCGGCGAAGGAGATAGAGAGGAGCCTGCTAGAGCTCCACCAGGTGTTCTTGGACATGGCGGTGATGGTGGAAGCGCAAGGGGAGCAGCTGGATGACATCCACCACCATGTGATGAATGCTGCCCAGTATGTGAATGATGGAAGCAAGAGCTTGAAGGCTGCAAAGGAGCAGCAGAGGAGCAGCAGGAGGTGGATGTGCATTGGGATAATTCTCATTTTGATCATCATTCTTGTCATCATTATCCCCATTGCCACTAGCTTTGCCCATTCTTGAGGATTAGAAATGCTTATGAACTAGCTGTATTCTTTTATTCTTTTATGTTGGCTAGCTTTCTCTGATCTCTTTTGGTGCAAGTCCTTAATTCTCTTAGGACTTGTATGATTGTACGTTTTTCTGTCTCACCCAACATCTGCTTTGTGTCTGTAAGGATATATGAATGAATGAGAATGAATGGCTTTGTTAATAAAAAAAAATGCATTTGCCAAACTGGGAGGCATATGAAACTTGACAAAATGCATATGAAATTTGAAATGGATGTCATATTTTACAGGTGGAAAAAGCCACATTGTCCTTCATTTGGTGGGTGGGTGTATAAATTGTGAAGACCCTGTATTTCACACAAGGGAACTTCTATGGTTTTATTAATAGATCTATTAGAGCATGCCTATTTGGGGAGAACTATCAAATAAGTCTTCGAACTTTCATAAAAAGTGCAAATAAGCTCTTTTACAGGAGGCTTTGTCCGGCTGTCGCCATTTGTGATCGGTTTACCTAATTTCATAAAAAATGCAAATAAGCCCTTTTACAAGATGCTCAGAAATGATTTTCTATTTTTTTAATAAACAAAATTGATAAATATTGTATTAGCTAAAATTTTGGTATAAGTAAACTAGACTTAATGAAAAAGATGCTCAAAAATATTTATTAATAGTTATATTCAAAAATTCATTTGATTGTCTTCCCAGTTGAATTTTTAGCTGAAATTTGGTATAAGTAAACTAGACTTAATGAAAAAGATGCTCAAAAATATTTATCAATAGTTATCTTCAAAAATTCATTAAAAAAGATGCATTAAAAAATTAGAAAAAGCTGAAAACTAGACTTAGAAAAAGATGCTCAAAAATTTTCATTAAAAAATTCAACCGGAAACTGCCCCACATTTGATATGGCCGAACAGAGCCTCCTATAAAAGGACTTATTTGCATTTTTTATGAAAATTCGAGAACTTATTTGGTAGTTCTCCATATTTGTGAGGGAGGGGCATGTTCATCATACTTGTGGTATTTAGTAAGCATTTTGATGTGTTTTTATATTTTTCGAAACCTGTTCATGTAAAGGTTTAAGTTGGAGTATGATATAGATAGTTTGATCCGTTGGACTTTTCAATTTTCTACTACCCATTTAGTTAGATGTGAGTTGTTGTTTAGTTTGGTGCGATTTACTTAGGATTTTTTTGTACTCCTTCCGTTTCAATTTGATTTGCAAAATTTCCTATTTTTGTTGTCTCAAAATGGTTTTCTACTTTTTATTTTAGGTATGTAAATAAAAATAAAGTGACAAATTTACCTTTACTTTTACTTTTTTCTAATTAAAGACATCTACCTTTAGACAAGATGGGCAAAAATGTAAAAAGCAAACATCATTTATTGGCATTCTGTAATTCTTGTGTCGATCAAAATTTGCAATTCAATTCCGAACGGAGGGGGTAGTATATACTATGTACAAGGTTAGCTGCCTTTATGTTTCTACCGCTATATATAGACGGATATACTAGTATATAGGTTAGTCTGGCTAGAGAAATATTAGCAAACGCAATCATGACAACATTTTATTTATGTAGAAAATGTAAGTTATATCAAACTTGAGCAACGGATTAAAACAATGTGTATTAAATAATAAAAGAGAAATAGTTAATGGTTAGGGTAATTTTTTAAATAGGAGAAAATAATATCTAAATTTCAATAGTGTGATTATAAGTTTTATATTCCTAAAATAGAAGTAATCCTTCTTACTCTCGTCATGCTTGAATAAGATTTTTATTAATAATAATAAAACATAAAAATAAAAAATAAATAAGAAAACAAATTAAAATTAAAATTAAAATTAAAAATACTAGTGTCATCTTGGTGGCAGTTTTATAGCAAATTTTGACATTTTCAAAGATAATAATGTTCATATTTTCATATATCATTTTTATACATTTCTTGTGGTTAGAGGTAGATGAGGCGGCAAAGACCTGTATAACATTTTATATTTCTATTTAATTTATTAAATTTTTTTAAGTTTTGTTTAGAATTTTATATTTATATTTACGTTTTCTTTATTATTATTATTATTATTATTATATATTATATATTATATATTATATATTATATATTATATATTATATATTATATATTATATATTATATATTATATATTATATATTATATATTATATATTATATATTATATATTATATATTATATATTATATATTATATATTATATATATAATATAATATATAATAAAACTATAATTCTTATATGTAAAGTAAAACCATAAGTAACTCCTATTTTGAAAATATAAAACTATAATTCTGGTTTCTGTATTTGGGGTTAAATTTACATTAACAAATTACTTTCATCAATCAACACATTTATTATTTTATTATATGGAGTATGTGATTTTGAAATTGGTAAATTTATTGTTTTAGAGCATTATAATTTATAACACAAGAAGATGACTAATTTCTCAAATCAGAAAAGCACATGCATAGAATTTATTTATCACAATATGACAAATGTGCCAATTTCTATTTTTTTTCTTTTTCTTTTTTCATTGATCCAAAAAAGGTTGAATCTCCCACCCTAGGAACCCCCACCCCGACCCGACAGGATGGTGGGGAGGTTAGTCACGGTGACTCAGTTATATATATGGTTGAGAACGAGCAGATGAGAATATTTTAAACCATAAGAATTCTAGAAATCCTGGTCATGGTTTCAATTGAGTGCGGAACCACGTTGGAGACCAAGAGCTAGGTCCAGACCCAACCGGTTCGGCCCGGAACCGAAACCGGCCCGGCCTGCCACTGTGCAGGCCCAGACCAGCCCGGTTGGTGCTAACCGAGCCCGGGCTTTTACCCGGTTGGAGAGGATTGGGCGGGCCGAGCTCGGGCCCTGTATTTGTTGAACCGGCCCGAGCGGTTCGGGCCGGGTCCGGGCTTTTTAATTTTTTTTTTTTGGATTTTTCAATTTCTTTTGTTTTTCTTGGTTAGGAGTGGGTGTTTGGGGGGGGGGGGGTTGGGGGTCGGGTGAAGGGGGGGTCGGGGTTTAATTAGAAAGCAAAAGAAACAACAAAAAAAACCTTGATCTGGGCCTGGCCCGGCCCGGTTAGGCCCGGACCCAGTATCAACCCGGGCCGGTTCTGGGCCCAACAATTTGAAAAAAAGCCCGCCCAAATCTGGCCCGGAACTGGAACCGAACCAGACCGGGTCCATCCCTAACGATAGGTGGGACAGTACTTGGATTGTGGGCAATAACAATTTTTTTAAAAGCTGAAAATAACAAAACAAACTTTTAGAGTAATAAACACATTTTAGGGGGTTTCGACATCAAATCTTACCCTGTGTACACTTTGTGTACAACTCGTGTACGCTAAGAATTTTCCCCTTTCACTTTTTTGTGTTCCATCCAAAAATTATAACACTATACACGAGAAGTCCAATGTGAATTAGGACTTTCTAGTGTCTAACATCTTTAACTTCTTTTTGGGTTAAAGTTCAGTGTTACTTTTTGGGGTTTGGACAAAGTTTTATCAGATTTTCGTCCACAGAAAATCCTGAACGTACGGCCAACTGCAATCTGAATACTTGAAACCACAGCTATATAATATGTAGTACTTCGTAATACCCTCTTGTCTTCAAGCTACAAACCATACAATAATGCTCTACAACAACTTCAGATGTTATACAATAAATTCAGATGTTTCTTTCTTGTTGAACACCCCTGCATTGCCCAACTAGACAAACTGTTGGACGAAATAGGAGGGAGACAAAGTATCAATTCTTGTCGCCGGAAATTTGGATTCAGAGTTTCAAACAGACCCTTAGGCATCAAGGTGATTGAACACTATGTTCGCAGCAAAAAGCTCAATATCCTAAAGCCAGGGGGTCTAACATGCTTGATTTCAATGTCAAACTTTAATCTGATTCATACTCTAATGTAGTTTCACTTGGAAAAACTGCCCCTTTCAATGATGATATCAGGCTTTCACTTCAAGGATCAAACGTGTTCAGCACAAAGCATGTTCATTTTGCTTGCATGATTCCCTTCCGGTTCCGGTATATAAGCATGAAGAGCTGAGCATAGAAAAGATGCTGGCTCAAGGCATTCTCAAGCAACATATAGAACAATAACAACAAAGGACAGACACCATTGGCCACTCACCTCTACCAGTGGGCAGATCATATCAGTAAGTATACGTTAGTTAGACACATGTGCTCTTTATTTGGTAAATAAAAGAAGCAAAGGGTGGAGCACCACCTTCGCAAACATCAAGACCCAAATATATGGTGATTGTGTTTTTAAACCTAATACAATTGTCAAGGTAAAATCACACTTTACAGAATAACACCTCTTACCTTAGGGTGCCAATTCACTCCAAATGTAAGACACCATCGTAGTTCATACCAACCTGTAAGAGCTTCAGAGCCCATTTGAAGGCCCAAACATGTTGTAACCATTGATACCACCTGCCATGTTTGAATATGGGGAGTGGCCAAGGTCACTACTATTAGCACTCCTCATTCCAGAGAATGAACCATCATCAGAAGATACCATTTGCCATTGGCTAGTTATCATCCCTTCTGTCTGCACATTGGCAAAACATTGTGGACCGGCCTGTGTGATCATATCTCTACTACTAGTATCAAAAAGGAGGCCTCCCGGATATCTATGCAGGAACCCATTGTTGTTATCATGATAGGTGAGTGTCCGGTCAAACCTACAAGAGCTTGTTGGACTTAGATCAGGAGGCATACTAACATCGCCTGGGAAGCTGAAATGCCGAGGTAGATGGCGATGGTGGTGATGGTGAGAAGAAGCATTGCCAAAACGGCTCTGAAAGGTGGGGTCTGGTTCAGAAGCCATCCCAACTCCAAGATCATCATCTAGGAGATCGTTAATAATATCAAGATGGGGGAATTCATCCGCCAATAGGCCCTGTTGGTAGGACTGACGTCCAGAAGTGCATGTTAAGGACTGCATCGGAAGATCGTGGGCACTGCTTTTTGATGGCATCATGTACATGTCAAAACTTTGAATGTTATCAATTCCAGGACCATCAGGAGTCACGCTTCGGCTGCTATCCCTTTGAGAGCTCTCAATCCAACAGGATCCATCCTGTGAGAGATCGTGATCTACTGTTTCATATGAAAAGCTTGGCCTACCTGAGATTGCTTCTGTCCTTATTTGCCCCTGCGGTAGCACTGTCCCAGAATTCACAGCAGGAGGTTCAGAGTAGGAGTGTGAGGCATTTGTTGAAGTAGGAGAATGAGGTCGACTAAACCCACCTACGCTACCACAAGTAACATGAGAACCCATCATCACGTTTCGATAGGATTGTGGAAGAAGGTAACTGTGTGTTCCTGATGAAGAGTCAGCAGGACCCAAGCCGCCAGTAGCACTCACTGAACGTGTCAGATGGGGTGATGATGTTATTGATGTTTGCACATGAGAGATAACAGGAGTACTTGGCCTGGCTCCAGCAACTATGGGAGCACTCAAGGATCTTGAGGAGGCAGACATTTGTGAACATGACTGGCTGGTGGTTGGAGGAACTTGATGTCTTATTGAGCAGCCATCTGTTGCAATAGGAACTTGTTGTGTGGATATTTTTCTGTTAACTTGCATATCAAAAGATTTATTGCTTTCAGGGTATGGCATCGATTTGGCAGATCTATCATCCGGCTGCTGCTTGGAGACATCTGGGGACGGTTTCTTGACAGTTGAGGAAACTGCTGAAACCATGACCTTTGACTTTGATTGAAGTGCAGACACTCCTTCCTTGGGAGGGGACGACACACTTGTTTTGTGCACTGAAGATGCCTCTGCATCAGCTCTGTTGAGCCTTCTTTCCTGAGAAGTACCTATTTCCTGGCGTTCCTGCTGTACGAGAAGACATTAGCTGTTCTTTTTCTAAATTTAAGTCATTATGTTTAGCAGATACAAACACTTCACTATTTAAAAACAAATTACAGCTGTAAACCAAATAGAAGTCTCATAATAAAGACAATGGAGGGCTTCATGAGCGGTCGAGCATATAAGTACATCACAGAAATAAATGACAAATGAAGAAATTGTTGGGTGACCTTGTCAGATTTTCTTAATGCTCAATGCTCATTACACCAACCCCAATGATTTGTGACCAGGCTTGCTTGTTGAGGTATAGTAAAAAAAAAAGGCAGCACAGTGCACGAAGGCATCCCCGCACAGCGAAGGTCCGGGGAAGGGTCCCCTGTCAAATTTTGACAAGATGTCGCTCCCAAGACTTGAACGCGTGACCTCTCGGGCATACAGCAACACCTTACCTGGCGCGCCAAGGGTCCCCTTCCGTTGAGGTATAGTAATCTCATAAAAACAATATAAAGTAGTTACAAGTTGCAACATATGTTATGTTTGCATGAAGTATGTTTCGGAAACTGCAGGAAAGGCTCGAAAATATTTCCAATTAAGTTTTTGCACGTTTTGATTTCCAAAATGCTTCACAAATGGGGAACCTGTTACGGGTGTGGTACAGAGATGAAAAGAAGAAGATTGAAATCAATAATGATGAAGAACTTCTCCACCCTAGGTAAGAGAAAGTGGTCTCTCACTGTGCCAAAAATTCAAGGAATAACTCCAAATTTATTGGTGACATTATTATAAATAGAGCACTTCAATTTATACTAATCCCAAGAGTCTTGGTGGCCCAGTACATGAGGGGATTTTAGCTCTGATTTCATATGTTGATTCATGTTAGCTGACCCCAAATTCTATTGGCGATAAGGCTTGGATATTGTTGCTATTGTATAGCTAACCCTTGAATAATGAACGCTACTAGATGATTTATATGTCCAAAGATCTCCCATGTAAAAAAAGGATAATGTTACTTCAAAACCTCTACACTATTTGTCATAACAACCCAACATAGTGAATTTTCAAAAAGTCACAAAAACCTGAATTCCTGACCGGTTGTAAAATTCACAAAATAATTTCGGATATCTATGGGAGTTTTCATAACCTAAGTAGCATGGGAACGTCATTTTTAAACGAAAACTGATTCAAATAAAGGTTCTTAGAGTACCCTAAAAGATTCGAAATGGGAAACTTCACCCCAAAGAGTCTCCACATCATAGATTGCACCAACGCAAAGGGTAAAATCCAACATGGGCAAGCAATGTTTACTTACCCTAATAAGTACTTCAGGATAAACCTGTGTTGCACTTGGCTAACTATATAACCAAATTCCAGGAGCAACTTAAGAATATTTCAACATTAAAAAATCAAATTTTATCTTATTAAATCATAATCATCTAAATAATCCTAACTGACCTTGTTGTTGTCTTTCAACCACTCATGATGTTAGTCTTCTATATCATGTATAAATCTTCAAAATATCTTTTATATAATGAAAGTTAGTTATTGTATTTATTAATCAAACTACTTAATTGAATATCTTTATTGGTGACTTGGTAACAAAATGGTTTTCCCTACAAGTTGAATGGGGTTCTCATTTAAAGAGATTGAAACCAAAAGAGCTTAATGCTGAAATGATGTGCACCGAAGTGCTGATGTAGCCTCTCTCATTCACCCAATGTGTCTGTCTAGTGTATCAGAGCATAATGGATTTGGTCCTTCACGGAACGTGACAGGTGCGAAGACCCGTGTTTTCAATTAAACAGGTGTTTGGCCTGGTGAATTACAGAATCATCCCTGATCATTTCTTATATCAGTCATTCTAGGGCTTCCCGTAGTTTTCTAGTACATGCATGTAGTCACATGATATGATGATATCCAAGAGTGTAAAAGGCAGCGACAGGTTTCCTGGTATAACAGTATAAGGAGAGAGAGAGAGAGAGAGAGAGAGAGAGAGAGAGGGGGGGAGAGAGAGAGAGAGAGAGAGAGAGAGAGAGAGAGAGAGAGAGGGCAGCACACCTTTTTAACATGCTGCTCACGTGAAGAAAGAGCAGTAGCCTGATGCTCAAATCCAGTTATCCTGCAACTGCCAGACGTATCACAAAGTATTGCTACATTAGTATCCTTTTGACGACTGATTGCTTCATTTTCCCTAGCTGTATTACTAGATCTGCTTCGATGGTTCTTCCCTCTAGTATGTATTGATACAAAAATATTAGATCGAAATTATACATACATAAACATGAAACTGAGACTAAAAAGGAAAAAACGGACCTGCCAGGTGATGTTTGGTTTTTATGGTCTGAAGCATTGGACCCATAATGGCCATTCATAACGGAGGGAGTAGAGTCTGTTGAGCATGTTGATGAACTATCATCCAATCCTGAAGGGTTTCTCCTCCCAGCTGCACCATTTTGCACCGGAAAACCATTAAATTCACTGCAGCTGGCTCCCACAGGACGATGAATCTCTATTGTGTCAGTATCCCAACTCACAGGATTTGCATCTCTGTCTTCTGATTCACAATTAAGCATTTCTGAAACACAGTCTACCGAATCAGAGATGTCTGAAACTTCTTCTAATATATCCAGCTTTTCAGGTACACTTTCTAGCTCTTCCTTTCCCTCTCCATTCAATGGCTCCTCTTCAGTCTTGTCTTCCCACAAGACACTGGGCTTCCCATCCCTCATTTTATCCTTCGCCTTGCGATTGTTGCGTTTCTGTTTGCCCTGGTGTATAATAGTAAAAAGGATGAACTGATGAAAGTATATTTGTGATAAGTAAAATTATAAACTTCATGTGTCTATATCTCCTGATTCTCTTCTGAAACCGCCTTTCTCATACCAGACACAAAGGAAATTTACTAAATTTGATTCATTAGCAACTTGTATAATCCTATTATCATTAGATTTGAAATAGACATCAGGCAATAAAATATGTGACATCCGAACTCCCAATTCTGCCAGTGGATCAAAAATTACAATGAACTCCACTGACCAACTATTTGAGACTCAAGACAGCCTAAGAAAGTGTCATGCCTAACCGCTCCCATCTGCAAAACAAAAATCCAAAATAAAGTACCTGCTTCTTCTTTGATTTTTTCTCCTTCTCAGATGTGCCACGTTTTGTTTTCAGCTCAACTTCAGCCATCCATGCTGCCTCCTCCTCACGAATAAGTTCTTCTTGCCTTTTCAAAGCAACAGCCTCCTGATATGCAATCTCAATTTTACTGCAGAGATGAAAATAAGGTAACCATGAGGGATTCATGATTAAAATTATAAAACAATATCTAAAGGATCATGATAAAAGCAACGCAAGGAAATAGAAATAGCATCACATCCAAAAAATGATTCAGTAAGGAACACCTCAGAATTAATCAAATATTCAAATGAATTTTAAATGCAAAGTAAATAAAATTAGTATGTAAAAACATCTTACTCTTAGAGTCTTAGAGAATTTAAATGTAAGAACATGAGCATAGCATTTGAAGAATACCAATGACAAAGGAATATCAGTATACCAGTAGCTACACACAGATCCATCGATTGGATTTTGTGGAGCCATCAGACAAGAATAGGACACTCTACTTTATTCCATCGGAACGTTATGAACAAATTTCAACACTAACAGCTCTGTCATCCTCAACAATACCCAAAAGAACTAACAACGCACTTCATAAGACAACCACAGAAGAAATGAGTTAAGATGCTTAGAATGCACTAAGTCACTAACTGGAAGACTTCCAGATTTTATGATACTGGGGAACATAAACCAGAACACATGTTGTCTCCGGCTTCTTATTTTCTTTTAAGTTTAAAACACACTTTTGTGTGTTCCGAAAATGAGAACATGATTATCACCGCTGGAAATGACAGTCTGGATTAGCACCAGAAACACCTGGCGCTGCAGCCACCGCAGCAGATTCACGGGTCACTGCATCCAGCTCCAGAAACTGTAACCACTTCCAGTTATCATCGGGTATAGAAAGAAAATGTTGGAAAAGGAAATAAAATTGTGCCTAATTGCCTTAAAGTTTCCTAGCACCTGAAATCGTAAGTGATTTTGTGGATGTTTATTCATAATTTATCTCATTCACATACATCATCCAATTCATGGATCTCTGCGCATATCTTGTGGTATACAGATGTTTTTCATGTCTCTCGAGGTGCCATTAAATAATATGATAGGAAGCGCATAAAAATGTATTGATTGATCAAATGTGGAAGGCTCCAATAGTCAGAACTATATATGGCTAAAACAAGATTCTAATAATTTATACAAAAACTACAAAGATAGTGAAGTTGTCCAAGCAGCTAAGTGGGCAGATAGATAAGTCTGAGGTGATTTTCACCTGAAAACCTGTGCCAGCACAAATATTTCAATGGTCCTACGACCCAGATCAGTAAGGCGTCTTTCATCACGCTCGATGGATTCTTTGTTAAAGTCCTCTCCAGAAGTACCATCCTGAAACACAATCTTCAAAATGAGAAACCATGGCGATTGTAATGATGAAACATGTTGAGCTATTAATTGAGTGTTGAGACCAAGATATGAACATTGACTATTTGATAGGTCACCGTACAAACAGTTCAAAACTGTCTAACCTACATGCTGCTAGAAGCAATGTCAATGCACGATCTAAATATATGCAATTTACATTTAAATATTATAAAAAGTGTAACTTCCTTTTAGCATTAAAAACATAACCTAATAATATAATGAGCATAGTCTGCAGTTGAATGCAATAACATACTTAAGGTGGTTTAAGAAAATCCATTTCCTATATCTCTTAAGAATCTATTAATGTGCATGAGCTGTGTGGCTTCAATTGATTGTGCAGGACGATTATGACTACATAAAGTATGGGAAGTCCACTTTGGCAAAAGTACGAGTACCGGATACTTTTTTGGTATGGGACTATGCTACATTGCTTTTTATGAAAAAATGGGTACAGCTAGAGTACAGTTTGGGTGTGTGAGTGTGTCCGGGTACAGCTTGAGTGTGTCCGGGTACAGCTTGAGTGTGTCTGGGTACAGCCATGTGGGACTTTAGTCATAAGAACGTAGCTTTGGAGGATTGTTTTATCTTTCCTTAGTTTTCTTTCCTGTTTTCTCTTTACCACCCCTCACCTCTCAGCATAACTCCAGAAGAATACAGCTTTCTCACCCATGTTCAGCTGTGGTAGTGGCCTCATAGGCAGCTTTCTTTTTCTTCTGTTTCTATTCAAATTGTATTTCAGTTTTAGTTTTTGCACTTTTATATTCCATGATATGCATACTTGCATATGTATGTATGTATGTATGTATGTATGTATGTATGTATGTATGTATGTATGTATGTATGTATGTATGTGCATATATATGTCCATGTATATACATGTACATAATATATAAATGCATGACATGTACTTGTATCCCTTTAACATAGCTAGAGATGTCGTTTTAATCTCACAACATATTTCTTGATGAAGTATACTCACAGAAATGAGATATGCCAAGTAAAATTTCCTTCATACTGACACTTATGTCCCAGAAGAGTAGCAGATACATACATAACACTGAAAACTTATATAAAAGTAAAGCAAACAATCAGCTAAAAATTAGGAACATTAAGCTAGATCCAACAAAAAATGATTTAACTATATTGTATTGGAGCAACAATATATTCAATGTAAAGTATCATCAAACACTTAAATGACAAGCATAAATATATAAAAAACAGGTTCCATAGGCTTGCCTTTGTACGATTTTGAGGACCTTTCTCATCCTTAGGAGGCAGTGGCTCCAGAGAAGCCCTCTCAAGCAATAGAAGCACATCATCAACCAAGACAAACATGTCTTCTTCCATGCGTACTATAGATGTTGGTTGTTCCTCTGCATCCATACATTTCCCCTTGCCTTTCTTTCCCTTATACTGACCCTCTAGAGCCCTCAGTCCGCTGTACAAGGAGTCCATGACTAAAGTAGAAGTGACTTCCTTTTCAACAAAGAAGTGTTTTACAAGAACTTTTAATATTACATCTGTTTTCTCCTTTGACATGTGGCGTTTGGAACTTTGCTCCATTCCGAGCCAGAATGCACAGAAACTGAAACATAAGATGGTAAAGCCCATACAATTAGGGAAAATGTTAAATACCAGTTCAGAAAAATTGCTATATAAATGAAGGTGTAACAACTACCGAGCTGACAATGATTCCCATTTTGCAAAAGCACAAATAAGGCTACTATAGTAACCTTACATCCAAATTAAATGACCAGAGAGGCAGGGACGCTACACTTCACCAGACTAGGCTAGTATAGAAACTGAGTCTCCTGACACTGGCTTTCAGGGAATGTTACATGTCAGCATGATTTATAAAACTAATAATTATAAAAGAGCTCTTACCCTGACCATCTACTTTTATCCTCTATTAGTTTTCCAAGTTTACTTCGCTGTTCTTCTACATAACGACGGCAGATTTGTTCAACATTAGTTAAATAGACCCTAACAAGTTCTCGTCGATATAGACGGTCGAGACAACGAAAGGGACGGTCAGCTCTCTCCCTGCGCAAACACAGCGTGAATTCTATCAGTAAACATCAACATAAAGGTCAGACAAAGTGTAGAGGACTAGATACAGGAAACTAAGCAAAGGGCATCATTATCCTATATAGTACAGATTAATTAATTCATTTAGTCTCATGAAAACAACGCAGTCTTAAGTCAAAACATGTCCAGATGCAGACCTCAAAGAGTAATTAGCAAAGTTCAGGGCTTTTTACTTCTGACTTAATGGACTTAGAGGCTTATTCATATCTACTTGATAGTGGACAGACAACCCACTCTGAAAGAAAAACATGAATTCCCTTTGGGTTTTTTGGGATGTTTAATCAGTTCACAAGCAGGAAAGAGATTTCTAATCTCAAGACACTATGCAGTGCACAGAACAGTTACATTTGTAAACACGGAAAATAGAGAATAGTTTTACTGAATTGGCAACTAATATTGTTCCATGATGGTAAAACATTGAGCAAAAAGTATGTATTAAAATGTCAAGTTCCATCCTAAAAGGCTTTCTAAGATACAACTTCAATGGTGGATAATTAGGCCAAATGGACCCCCCTAATGAGCTAGAAAAACCATTGGTGCCAACCAAATAACTTAAACCACAATTGGACCTAATTTGGAAATCTTACTGAGATTTGATAATAAAAGGAATACCATATGATCGTACATGTTAGATTATTATTTTATACGAAGTATTTGACAAATGCAGGAAAAATACCTCAACGGCCTGATAGTTTCTGTTTAGGTTATAAGAATTCAAACTTAGGAAATAAATGGCAGTATCAGAAACACTACTTAATTGTTGACATTCATCTAAACTAAATAAGTGCAATGTATCAGAGAGGTTCATTCCTGATAAACAACAATGGACTGATAAGAAAAATGACCAGAAGAACACCTTAAAACTTGGACTTGAGCTTTGATTATCAATGTATCAGCATCAATAAACCCATCCAGCACTTTTGACAGCTCCATAAATTTTTTCCAGCCCCAATCATGTTCCTTCTTCCAGAAACGATGCAATGTGTCTTCAAAAATAGTAGTAGCCTTTTAGTGCTGATAATACGAAGAATTTAAAAAGCTACAAGAAATTATTAAAATTAAATTACCAGAATATTTAGACTTCTTAGGATCTTTATTCACCACAGCAATTGTGAATTGTGCAAAATGACTCCAGCCTGCATTTACCAATCAAGGAACTACTAAAATGAGAGAAATATATAGAGAGAGAACATTGGTATCAAGAGATATTAGCGTGAACTAACAACACTGCCAACCTGGAAGAAGCTTGTCATGATTAGCCACACAAAGAAACAGAGAGAGGTGATTGCAGACGTCACACCCTTGGGGGTAAATCAAAATATACCTGCCACCGAACAGTTGATGAAAAACACATTATGTAACAATTAATGTAACTTTGTAAAGATGAATGTTATACATGAAACACAAAAAGCTGCCATTTGGACTTCAGTATGAGATGATATCAGTGAGCTACTTGTTAAGAGAAACTCCAATATCAGCGTCGATCAAGATAATCACTGGTGTTACTCTATTTAGTAACATGAATGGAGCAATCCTGTCCTGAATGAATTTTACTGAAGATGACTTTGTGCTTATCTAAATCATAGTATAATGCTTTACAGCAATAGTATAATAGAAGCAGAAAAAAAGGTTCCCATAAGCAAGCCTTCCGATCACACAGAAAGTGCAAGAGCACATTCAAAAAGATTCTGTTTGTAGACATATTACCATTTATAGTTGCCAACCTCAAATGCATTACTCCGAAGTTCTCTTTTGTTAATCTGTGAAAACTTATCAATCTTCCATGTATATTTTCCAAATAGTTCAGAAGGCTTGGATCCTACAAGCAAGAAAACACGATGAAGATGACTTTAAGATGATTTTCCCTTATCAGATAAGTGAAGAAGCCAACATGTAATGAAAAGAAAAGAGGTATAAGAAAAGAGGAATACACATTTAACCAACTAAACACATTGATATCATCACTAATTAGCACTTAACATATGATATTCAATTAAACTCATACTGCTCAAGAGAAATTAGTAAATTAATTAGAATACCTTTATCCATTAATAATGAGATTAGTACATTATAAATAGCAATGACTACTTGCAAGAATTACTAAGGCCAAAAAGATGCTTTATGCTCATCATGGCACTGTATAGCACACTTGCAAGCGGCAATAAGCACAATTTTTTATGTAGAATAAACCTTGGTTACCACTATACTACAAAAAAACTCTAAAAAATATAGCTGACCAAGCCTGGTATCTTCTTGTACTAATCTGTAAGAAACCTAAAAGCAACTTATATAACATTAAAGCAGTATAAAACACGATCTTAATCCCACCTCAATGACACAAACAGAACAAGCAAAGTTTTGGGAGATGTATTTTTATCAGAAAAAGAATATAAAAACAAAAACATTCAACTAGAGGAACATTGAATCTGAGACAGAAAGATAGTAGGTAGAATGTGAACGCTTTGGGTAACCCAAACCTGTGGAGCAACAGGATTACTAGGCCAACATTTAAAATGCGGAATGACGGTTTATTATCAAAGTGCAGGAAGTACCTAAGATACAAATCCATTAAACCCCCCCCCCCACTGTTGCTAATTACAAATTTATCAGAGTAGTGGAATACCAATTTCATCCAAGTCTGATGTTGTAAAATATTTTCCAGGAATTTTTAAAAATCTGCATTCGATCAATGATTCAAGTGATATTTCAGGAGTAATAAAAAAATTATCCATTGACTCATTGAGAGTCTTAATGATATTAGAGTTGACTCAAACAACGGCAATCTTTAATGTCTTGACTACAGCTGACAAAATATGCTAAGAAAAATTGAAACTTGAAAACAATGGTAACCAGATCAGGTGATCTATATTCGCAATGAGTCAGAACAGACCACACCCTACTCCATACTCATAAGTCTAAAAAAAGAACTCCTATTAGAACTAAAATTCACCAAGAGTCAAAGACTTTCAGTAAAAGACATCTTAGCACAAAGCAGAAAATTATTCAGAAAAGCAGTGGTCTTCTTTCCCGAAGTAAACAACAAAGAACAAGCCAACAAAATCTTCCAACTATGCAAATTATCATGCATGGCATGAAATGATAACAGCTAAAATGTATATGCAACAATGCCCCAAATATATAGACTGAAATAACAGTGGTAAGAATGTTTATACAAATCCAGAATACAACCGCTGTCATCATCATTGTCACTGTCCCAATAAGGTGGTGATGTTGAGGGAATTCCGTTCTCCACCTGCTCTGAAGACCTCCATTCTGCCAGTGCTTCACCCGACTGGTAAACCTGCTGCCCAGTAGATACACCTTGCAAAGACCTTCCAACTCCAGCTGTCTCATTCACAGCAGCGGCCATTTCTCACTCCTCAACACCACTATAAGTCGCCTGTATCGACACAAAAAGAAAAAAAAATCAGCCCCAACTACACCAGCGGAACCAGTAGACAATGAATTATCCACCCAAAAGCAAACCCCAATAGAGTTATCTAAGCTCTCCGCTGAATATTTTGTCAAAAGCATGTAACTAACGATAGTATATCTCAACGAAATCTAAATCCCAAAGTCCAAGAATTACATCAGCCTTCAGAATTCAAGAACCAAGCTCTAATTAATCCAAATGATTGGATTATTACGAGAATCAGTTAGGTGCTGGAAACAAAGTGAAGATTCAAACTCTTATATGGGATTAAACCCAGGAAACAAGTGTAAATTCAAACAACCGAATTCCACGAGAGGGGTCAAAACGAAATTACTGAAATGAAACATCCAAAAAACAAACTCCTAAGAAAGAAGCGAATCTGAAAAGAATGTAAACAGAGGTCGTCGGAGCGGTAGATCGGTGAAAAGCACGGACCTTCTGACCTTCAGCAAAGAAGGGAGTTATCAAGCTAAGCCGCAAGATAGAGAGGAGAAAGAAGACAGCATAGCAGAGACGGGATACGGATTTTAGTACTGAAAAAATTGAAAAAATAATACGGGGATTGTAGCATGTTTTTTGTCATTTTTATTAGAAATACAAGTATTACATAAATAATTTCACATTTCACAAATTTTTTAAAAACGTTTTATGTTTAATGTTTTCCTTCTTTCCTTATTATTTTTTTCAATTTATTTTATCCCTAGGCACTTTTTATTCTTTTTCCATTTATGGAGTATTTGTTTTATTTCTTTTTTACATGCATGTATTACTAGTATTTTACCCATTTGATTAGGGCTGAGCAAAACCCGACCTAACCCGAAAACCCGACCGGGTATTTCGGATTTTACCCGACCGGGTAGGCTCACCCGACCCGAACAGGTACCCGAACACCCGCCCGCCAATTTCCCTAAATATTAATGGGCCGGGTAGGATTTGGATTTAACCCACCCGACCCGCCCAAAAACCCGAACCCTCAGCCCAGTTCCCATCCCATATGTATTAATATATATACTCATAAAAAATCCTAACTCACTCCCGCCTCCTTCTCTATCTCTTTACTATCTTCTCTATCTCTCCGCTTCTCTTGACCACTTCATCTCTTCGGACTGTGTTTGTGAGACGGTGAGCATGTGACTCCTGTGAGGGCCTCAACCTGTTCCTCACGCCTCAGTGGTTCAGTATACTCTCTTCGGCGTCTTCGCTCTGTCCGTCACTCCTTCTCACACCGTCACACGCTTCGGAAATTTGAAGTTGAAACCCTAAAGTCAGGGTCGAACATTGAACTGTGGAAGCTTTGTGTGGATCGTTGCGCTTACCGCTACACCAAAAGCAATTGCTGATAGTGAAGCACGCTCCTCCCCCTTTATAGCACAAGCGAAGCGCCACGCGGTCCGATTGCACCGGCAGGCTGGCTGTTGCTGGCACCGCATACCCGCGGCCCAACAATCTCCCCCCAGCACCTGCCAGCCTACAACTGCGCAGCATGCTGTTGCCGGGGGTCGAACCCGTGACCTTGGCTCTGATACCACTTGTGGATCGTTGCGCTTACCGCTACACCAAAAGCAATTGCTGATAGTGAAGCACGCTCCTCCCCCTTTATAGCACAAGCGAAGCGCCACGCGGTCCGATTGCACCGGCAGGCTGGCTGTTGCTGGCACCGCATACCCGCGGCCCAACACTTTGCCCCTTTAAGCTCACTCTCAGTCTCACATCCTCTTAAGTCTCATCTAAGTCACACTCGAGCAGCAGGTATAACTTCTATTCTTTACTTGATGAATAATGTGTAAATTGTGGTTGTGACTTGTGAGTTGTTTTTTTGTGTGACTCGAAGCAGCCTTGAATGTCAAATTGTGGAAGTAAAAATGATGTTTGTATGTGAGTGTTGTGCTTCATGAATTGTAGGCATGTCTGTGACTCTGTGAGTCTGTCCGAAACTGTATCTATGTATGAACTGTGTACATAAACTGATAAAAGTCTAATTGTGGCCTCAAAGAACTGTGGTTATTGTTATTTTATACGTTGCCTATTACATAAAAGAGTGGAAGCCTATTACATCATTATGAGTTGCCTACTGCTTATACTATTCTGTAAATCACCTTGGTGATTGTTCCAGGCTTGATTTCTATGCTTGAATTGACTGAAAATGATTTCAAAATGATTGCTTGCTCTTTGTGAATTGTGAAAAGTCTGATAGTGGAAGCTGTGACTCTGATTATTTGAAATGTGCCTAAGTTGTATGTCTTATCTTTGAATATGCTTATGAGAATGATGATGTAGCCTCAGGCTTAGCCTAGGTCTGAATTCTGAAAGATGGCAATGCATATTTCATATATGGCCTACATCGTATGTCAAGTGTTTGAACTTTTGTATGCTGAAGCTAAAGGGTGGAAGTAAAAGGTGGAAGGTAAATTAACTTTTGTATGTTGAAGCTTTGATTACCTGTTGTGTGATTATTAATGATCATCTGTATATTTGGATACAGAAGCTACGTGTTTGACTCTAACACTCAATGGAGTAGTAAGAGTCAACTGGTTCTTCTAGGGAAGAATTAAGCCTACTGCTCAACTTCTTCTGTAAATCAGCTTGCTGATTGTTCCAGGCTTCATCTTTCTGAACTTAAATGTGTTGACTTAAACGTGGAACTCTGAAAGCTTAATCTACCTATGTGTACTTAATAACTTATATAGATGGAAGGTCAAGATAGTGTTACCATGCTTGTATCTGATCAACCTCCTCTAAGCCAAGAACCTGCAGTGGAAGCTTCCATTGTAGAAAATAATGATACCACTCAACAAAGTGATACACCTGCTGTTTCTAGGCAAAAGAGGAAACAGGTTGACTCCAGGTCCAAGATATGAGAACACTTTGAAAAGATTTATGATGGGAAAGGAGTTCTTATTACAGGGAGATGCATTTTTTGTAAAAGAGTATATTGTTCTCACTCAAAAAAGCATGGCACCTCATCTATAAGAAACCACATGCTCAGTTGTCTGAAAAACACTCATTCTAAGGACACTAGGCAAGCCCTCTTAACCTTCCAACCAATGACTAGTGCTAGTCCTAGTGAAGAACCTGATGGGGTTTTAGGAACCTGGGTGTTTGACCCACCTGCAATTAGAAGAGCTCTTGCAGAAATGCATATAATTGATGAGCTTCCTTTTAGGTTTGTTGAGAGGCAAGGTTTTAAAAAGTTTATGTCCATAGCTTGTCCTAGATTTAAGATCCCATCTAGGTGGACCATTGCTAGGGACATTTACCAAATCTACTTAGCTGAGAAGATTAATTTGAAAAAGCTTTTTAGAGATACAACACAAAGGGTAAGTATTACTACTCACACATGGACCTCTATACAGAGGATCAACTACATGTGCATTACTGTTCATTACATAGACCACCACTGGAAGCTTCAGAAAAAGATTATTTCCTTTGTCCAAGTTACTTCTCACAAAGGGGAGTACATTGCTAAGGCTCTTGAGAACTGTCTGTTAGAGTGGGGGCTAAAAAACATCTTCTCTATCATTGTTGATAATGCAAGCAGTAATGATACAACAGTAGGCTTCTTCAAGAAGAAACTTGCTTCTTGGGGTGCTTCTCCTGTTAAACTGAAGTATCTCCACATGAGATGTATTGCCCACATTCTTAACTTGCCAGTTCAAGATGGCTTAAAGCAATCTGACACTGCTGTGTCTAAGGTTAGGGAAGCAGTTAGGTATGTTAGGAATTCTCATGCGAGGCTTCAAAAAATTAAGGATATATCTGACTTAATTGGGGTGGAAGCTAAGTGTGGACTGCACTTTGATGTTCCAACTAGGTGGAACTCCACATACTTGATGCTGAAGTCAGCATTATCTAATGAAAAAGTGTTTGAAGCCTATGAAGAGAATGAAACAAGTTATTCTGTTGATTTGGGTGTTGATGTTCCAGATGTTATTGATTGGATTTCTTGTGAGTCTATGGTGACAATTCTGCAAAAATTTTATGAAATGACACTCATGATTTCAGGGTCTCTCTATGTTACTTCTAATACTTTCTTCTCAGAAGTGTCTGATCTGTTTTTAGTCCTTCAAGACTTGATCAAGTCAGACAAGCCTTCTACAAGCAGCATGGGAAGTACTGTGAAATCCAAATTGGATAAGTACTGGGGTGATCCTGAAAAGATGAACTATCTGATATTCTTTGCAAATGTTCTAGACCCTAGGGACAAGTTTGAATGCATGCCCTTTCAATTCAATGCTTTGTATACTAAAAAAAGGGTGTGAAATTCTTTGCAAGTATCAAACTTGCTCTAGCTGAGTTGTTTGCTGATTATGTCATTAGTTACACAGAAAGTGTTGGTGGAAGCTCAGAATCAAGCTCAAATCCTGCTTTACTGATCAGTGAGGCTGAGTCTGCCAGACCAATCTCCAAATTCAAAGCACAATTGAAAAAACAGAAACAAGAGAGTGGGCAGTTGGGCTTGAAACAAAATGAGTTGGAAATTTATTTGAGTGAGGCTGTAGTTGAGGAAGATAAAGAGTTTGATATCTTAAGATGGTGGAAATTAAACAGCCAGAGATTCCCTATACTTTCTAAAATGGCTAGAGATATTCTTGTTGTTCCCATCTCCACAGTTGCTTCTGAGTCCACTTTCAGTACTAGTGGTAGGGTTTTAGATTGTTTTAGAAGCTCTTTAACTCCTAAAATAGTGGAAGCCTTAATTTGTACTCAAGATTGGCTGAGAATGCACAACCAACCTCTATCAATTGAGGAAAATATTGATGAAGTTGAGAGGCTGCAAAAAGGTTAGGTTAATTTCATTTCTACTTCAAAAACTAATGTTTATAATTTTTTGTGTAAATGTGACCTTTTTTGTCCTTTTCAGAGTTAATAGATGGGACTTATAATGCTTCTGTACATGTCTCTGGATCTTCTGTGGATCCTACACCTGTGAACTTAATGGTTTACAGCTTACTTGTTTATTATAACCTGACAATTTTATTTTACCAATAACTTTTAATATCAAGTTTTATTGAATTCATTGTGATGTTGATTTGCCAAGGTGACTAACAGTGGCCCAGTGGGTGTTGGAAGTGTTGGTGTTGGATGTTTTCCACTGCCCACAACCCCTATTTGGTTTATGCCTTTCTGGTGCTATTCATTTGCCCCTGTCTTTTTAAGGACAACTGCTTCTTCCTTTACTTTGTCTCTTGTTGCATTTTCCAGTTAAACTGATAGTTCCCCTTTTGGTAATGATGAAAGCTTCCACCATTTACTGAAATCAGATTAGGTTGGTATTAAATTTAGTTAGTGTTAAAATGGATTTGGCCTCTTAAGAGAGCATCTTTAGATGGCTTGAAACCTTGCACTGAATATTTTGGATGCCCTTAATCTCTTATGAATTGGAGAAGAAGCAATCTGAACCAAATTTTATCTACTTTATTCACACATATTTTGTGAATTCCACATACAGACTACTTATCTTTTTAATTTATATGTGCAGGATTAAAGGCTCAAGTACAAGCTGATTATGGGCTTTCTTTATTAAAGTACAAGTTGATTTTGTAAAGCACAAGCTGATTTTGTAGAACT